CTCCACTGAAACGGTTGTCAACCACTGGAACAGGCTGCCCAGAGAAACAGTGGAGTCACCATCCCTGGCAGTGGCAAAAAGACACGTAGACGTGGGCTTACGGATGTAGCTTAATGGTGGACTTGGCAGCATTAGGTGAATGGTTGGACTCGATCTTAGAGGTCTTTTCCAACCTAAGCGATTCTACGATTCCATGAATCAAAAGTGGTTGTTTTGTGCATAACATTTTTTGAGTTAGGAAATTGAAGTTTGGGCAGGTAGAAGTGTGAATCTGAGGCTGCCCATCATCTTAATAATCAAGCCAAGTATCTCACAGAAGAAACCCAGTAAAACCAAACCAATGCCATTTAGGGATACACTGTAATACTGGGAAAAACAAGGCAACACTGTTGCTTCTGAATCCAGTGCAGCCCTCCCTGTACTACTCCAGCGCTGCTCCATCTAGGATGCACAGAGCCAGCTTAGTACCTCTCAGTTCCTGGGACACTGGAGATGAGCTAACAAGCTTGACAGACTCGAGCAGGCTGGCAGAGAGACCACAGCCTCCAATTCCGGATTGCTTCCTCACAGGCTGTGCACCCTGCTCCCAGGGAAGGAAGAGGGGGCTGCAGGCAATTCTGCACTCAGGCAGTGCATCCATTTGCCTTGCAGTTCTAAACAGAAACCTTGAGACAACGGAGTCCCCGTTAATCTTCCATCCTCGCCAAGTAATTCTAAATTTCACATACCTTATATATGGTAATGTTTTAGTAAAATCAGACGAGGAAATGTAATTCTCTAACACATAATGGAAACATGTATGCACACATGCTGTCCTAATTTTACTTTCCACACTCACACAAACAAACTGAACAAACTGCTGACCCACAGTGAAGAAAGAGGCAAAGTGTACAATTTCTGTGCCTTTCTAAACGAAAAAAAAATTAAGAAGCCCATAGGCTCTGACATACAAAAATTTAAAAACCCCTTTTAACCCCCACAAACTCAAGATGTAAGGAATCAAAAGGTACTGCCAATGAAACAAAGAAAACAAAAGTTTTCCTACACCTCATAGTTCCTAGCCCAGCTCAAATGAGAAAAGGGACTCTAAAGGGTTTAAACCATTTCAGCCTGATCCACTGACTACTCTCAGAGACCTTATCCATCTATGTTCATGGAGTGCATAGTTACTTTATAAACACAAGAGATCTGTATCAAGTTACACTCCCAAAGAAAATAGATGGCTTATATTAACTTACTTATGAGATCTGTACTAATGATAAAATGGTGTTCATATAGCCTAAAATGCTGTAGAGGATAAATCTCTATTTATCCTCTTCCTGATAGGAAGGAAATTTTCAGACATGTTACAGGACTGCCTGCGGTTCACTATTTATCTCTAGACCACACAGGATATTCCCAGACAGTTATTTCTTAAACCAGTCCTCGGAAAACAAGGACTCAGACAGACTTGTATTTACACTCAAGGATCTTGGTGACAGAACCAGGTCAACTAAGGAACATGATTTCTCCATCTCTCACATATTCTTAAATAATGCAACTATGCTGGAACTGTGTCTAGGAAGAGACTAAATATAACAAGTAAGCACAAATTGACAAGTATCGGTGTGTTCCATCTTCCCACAACTCCAGAGTATTTGCATTATCAGTAACTGAGTGCAAATCCACATATACCCAGGGCAACACTTCTAAAAGCAAAAAAAATTCATAGGTTGTATAGCACTTTTCTAATAAAAAAGCTGACAATTAAATATAAAAAAAGTGGACAGGACCTCTCTATACAAGAGATAACCAAGAACTAACACTTTTTAAACATTTTTGCTTCATCTCACTGAAGAGCAGTGTTCAGTTGTTTGAATAAAAGTATTGAACAGTGTTCAACAGTATTGAACAGTAGTTCAGTACTTAGAAATCACATGTTTTAATAATGCCTACTAGAGATCATTGCCATTACCATTTCAGAACTACATTTGCCGGAATGAAAGCTTCGGAAGGATTTGGAGTCATCTGTGCCTGAGTAACAGCAAATGAGGAAGCAAAGTTATAGAAGTTATCCAACATCTTCTGAGTGAACTGAAATTAAAAAAAAAAAAAAAAAGACATTTTATGGAAGTTCTTTTTCATTTTGAACTTTTGTGCAAATGTTTAACAGATATACAATTCTTATATGAAATAAAATTAGCATGGTCATCTAAAACACAGTGGGGCAGTAGATAAAGTAGATCCAAGGGCATTAATTTTGAATGGATCAAAACATTTTAATTCTCAGTCTTGCCCTCAGATACATCCAGCATCCATAAATCATTTTCAGCATCTCTACTTGCCCTCTCCCTACTCTATTTCATCCAACAGGGTTTTTTTCTTTAAATACTGTTTTCAGAAAAATCTATGAGGGCCCTTGCAAATGACCTGAAGTGGCCACATTATTACTTCATAACTTAACTACTGCTCTAATACAAACTGGAGAATCAGAAATATTTAGGTGCCATATGCCCCTAACAACTCCAGAAAAGCTCAATGAACTGTACTATACAAAAATAGTTGTTGGTCAACTCCTAGTCATGGCAACTTTCTCCAAGAGACATCACCTATTTGAAGCTATAATGTGTAGAAACTGCAGAAGAACATCAGCTACGGTATCAGGATTACTGTTCAATTACCAGTCTACCTCAGCAACCTGGAAGGAAAGTGAGAAAGAAAAAAAAAGACCTGAAGAGAAGCCTCACCAGCTGCTGATATGTTAAAAGATAATGCCAGAGCTGTTAGGGAATTTCAGTGTTAGGGAAATCAAGACCCATCATGCAGGTCTAGCTTGCCTTGAACTGCTGTTAGACGGTCAACCAACTGCCAGAGCTGGTTGTGGATTTCCAGAGGTTCAAACTAACAGGCTGGGTAAAAAAATGGCACATGTTGTAGCCCAAGGCCTGATCCACAGGGAAAGAACTGGAAAAAAGAAAAATCGTTCTGTGGGGGAGGGCGTGATTCTGTTGTTCTGCAGAGCTACATCAGAAGGATTTCTCAAGGGTCAATGGTACACTTGGATACCTATTGGTGTCTATGCCCAGCTCTGCCTTGACTTTTAGAAATTTTTGATCATCCCTGCTAGTCTATGCACTGGAGTTTCAGCACCCACAAATGACCCTGAGGTTAGCTCAGTTGGTTAAGACTTGGTGGCAATAACATCAAGGTTGTGAGTTCAATCCCCTGTATGAGCCATTCACTTAAGAACTGGACTCGATGGTCCTTCTGGGTCCCTTCCAACTCAGAATATTCTCTGATTCTGACCAACGATCCACTGTCTATGACATGTATTTAGTCATAGCTGCTCCTGTTAGGAAGTATCATAAATAATTTTACAGCAGAGTGACACACAAATAAATCTATTGTCCTGATGACACTGAGCATGCAAATCCCAATCCTTTACAGGAGACAGTTTTTCAGTGTAAGAAAAACGTAATTTGAAAATATCAAAGCTTCCAAAAAAATTATTTGACAATGATTAGGTTGGTTTCAATCCTACAGCCACCCACAGCAGCTTCTCCTCTCCACTTTGGTCTCAATTCTTAAGGCTTTCCTAGGACAAAGAATTTCTGAAAACCGAATGTTCAAGCTACCTCTGTGAATGAATCTACTGATGACACAGCAGCATTTGCAACAGGAGTCTGCTGGGCCAGGTTCTCCAGCAGTTCCACTGAGATTCCAATCTGGGCCACTGTTGGCGTCTGTGGGAGGTTCATAGCACCAAAGGGATGTTGACTTCCCTTCCCTGAAAGCACCATGGACAGCACAGGTTAGATTTGGCACACATGTAAAGACTGAGAACTTAAATCATCGTGTTCCTTCTGTAAAAGGTACTCCTCAGCTCCTGTCAGAGAAATCTCCCTACCTCAGAAACACAGAGGAATACCTCACAGGCACAAGTACACACACAAGCACAACAGATGGAACAGTGTGACTGATATATTTAAAAACTACAACAGACCATAAGGAAATTTCTAAAAAAACGTAAAAACATAACTTGAAAGCTCCCTATGAAGTAAACGGATTCAAAAGGAAATACGATCTGAGAGTGAAAGACAGTAGAACCCTTCTCTACAAGAACCAAACCTTTCATTCACATTTTAGGAACTGCAGATAAACAGGAAACACGCAACACTGCTGCACAATTGTTTGATTCACTCATTCAAACCCAGAGTCTAGTGAACCTGTTTGTGCTCTGAAGAAGTAGAGAAAACTACTTCAAGATCTCTCTGACTCAGGGCAGGCTGGGCAGCCCCAGGTCTCATCTGAGCTGCTCAAAATCACCAAGAAAGCAAAGGTCAAAGAAACAGCTGTGGAACAGAAAGACCTTTGACTCTGCAAGTGCCACAAAGAAAACAATGGACCGGGTAGGAAACCACCCCCAAAGTGCCTGCCACTCACACAGGCATCATCCCAGACCCCTGTCCTCCCTCACTTCTGACCTTTCTCAACCCATACTTTCAGTCCCACCTTCAGCCAAGGCCTCTGCAAACAAGGACAGACACTTAAGAGTCACTTAAATCTGCAAACAAGGACAGACACTTAAAGTCACTTGAATCATGTACTCCTCTGTCAGCACCTGTAAAGGAAAATGCAGAAGAAAGGTCTGTAGGACCACAATGCTATAAGTAAACAGACAGTAATACTCCACCCAAGTTTGTGCAAATACAACAGACAAGTACCCTCTTAACACAGGTGATGTTCCAGTAGCATTCTCTGGTCCCTTACTAGCAGGAGAAAGAAAAGCAAATCAAGAGCTAAACCCCTTCTTTAAGTGCAAACAAACAAAACTCATCCCACAACAAGAAACTCTGCTATAATCACTGTTTCAGAGGGACCTGGCAAACAGGGGCACAGCTTCGTTCCTCTCAACAGAATGCAGATTTCAACTGATAATAGTATCTCTCAATGATTCTAGCTCTCTCTTATCCCTCTCTGGGATATCCCTCCCTTTCTACAGTCATGTAGTCTTCTCCATCACAAAACTGTTTATGGCCATGGACACTTAGGCCATGTAGCTTATACTGACCCCACAGACAGAGATGAGCTGTAGACAACAAAAGGAATGGCGGAGCTCTCAGAGATCAAGCACAGCACTTCCTTAAGGCCCTGCAAATGCATCCAACTACATCACGGAGTTCTTCTGTGAGAGCAGCCCTTGCCTGGAAATGAAAGCTAATCATGCAAAAAGCATCTAAAAATGCGTTTTCCTCCAAAGCTGTCTGAGAGTGACAGTCTTTCAAGTGTGAGAAACATACGGCAAAAGCACTAGTGATATGCTTTGCTGTTTCACTAACTACATGACTTTGGAATGTAGGAAACGACATCCCCACAAAACCTTCCTATGGCTGCTCTCTCTTCTGAAGAAAGCCCAGATTTCTGAGGAATGTGTATGATCAGAATTCATTTTGCTCTGCAGCTTGAGAGCCCTGATCTGATACCACACTGCCACATCCAGGACTGATTAAAAAGAAGGTGTACTACCTTATGAACGAATACATTTTATCACAGGAACCTCAGCACTTAATTAAACAGAGATTCAAGTTAAAGCTGTAGACTACACTCAAGCCTACAGAAGATGTGTACTACTTTATCACCATAACACTTTAAACTGCCTGCCTGACAATCTATCCCTTTAATATGACAAAGATGTGCTGTTGGAAGATGTTGTAATTTTTATAATGTACATAGCAACCCCACTCACTGTGAATTCAGGAAAATATACACACACCTTCTTCAGGTAGCACCAGCATCCTCTGACGCGAGTCTGTACCAAAAATACTGAAACATTTGCAAAGCTGCTTTCTAGTGATGACACCCTCTATTGGATAATTATATACTGCAAATGCACCTGATTGGGAAACAACAGCTGTCTGAAATCACTGTCAGGCTCTACTCCCTGCAAAACCTGTCTGAGCTACAAAGCACACAACCACTTAGCAGTGGAAGCTGAAAGACAATGCTGCAGGTATGTCTAGACAAATGCCTGAAAACCATGCTAGGGAAGTTACAGGATCATTTCTCCTCAGGTCGTTTATGCAGAAGCACAAAAACACAGGTCAAACCTGCTCAGGGGAATTTCCAGATAAACACCATGTAAAACAGAAGACAAGCAAGAAATTTCACTGGGAACATTAACACACACGCAGACTTCCATGAAGCTGACAGGCTGCTTCTAGTACATCTGCTCAGAACTATCTGAAAACACAGAAAAGGCTGCCCTTTCAAGTAGCTTTCTCTTCAAACCCACCTTCACACATTTTTACCCCTTATGCATGCAGGAACACATCTGTTTCACCAATTGCTATGTTCTACCAGTCTTACCAGATTTCAGACCAGAAATTTTGAAGATGGCACTTGGCTTCTCATTAGTGACAAACCCCAGCAGCTGCCACACTGCCATCCCACTCTGGTCTGGGTAACAAAAATAGACAGATCCTCCCATTCCTTCTGGAAATGGTATAGTTCCCAGCATGAAGACCACTACATGGTTGATATTTTCATAGTCCGGTAAATCAAATACAAATTTGTCTTCAGCCACTTGCTGGGGAGCTGCTTGTACCTAAAGAGAACAAAACCTTTATTAGTATTCATGTGTTTTTCATCTTTGGCCGTCACTGTGAACTTCCTTTTACAGAAATACACCTAAAGTGGCACATAACAGAAAAGTGAGGAACGTACTAACCTAAAGAGCAAAAGAGCCAGATAAAAGTCAAACACAGCAGAAGAACAACTGCAAAAAATATTACTAGAAAGACACAACAGTCTTGTTCTACCTGCACTGAACACATATCCCACCCGGGACTACAAGATCAGAATACCTTCGCTCCCCACGTGCGTAGGAGGAAAGTAGGGTGCAGAAGAGGTTGCCAAGTCAATAAGCAGTGGCTGTTGACCACCTGGCTGGCACAACCCCAGGATCATGGAAACCTGTTCACATAGGAAATACAATAGACCTTGAGAAAGGCAGTAGAAGGATGGCTGAATGCCAGAGCAAAAGATACCCTCATCTTTACCCGAGATGCCACATCCTTGCAGCCAAGGCACAATCTAGACTTAAAACTCTTCTTTTAAGCTCCCAGCTTGTCTCTCAGGAGACAACATTAGCGGAGGGCACGGCAACTACCTCCTGGCCAGGAGGCTCTACACCGCAGCTGCCTCAGGGGACGCGGGGCAGGGGCCGGCCGAGGCGCCGGGCAGGCGGCACAAGGGCGGCGCGGTCCCCGTGCCAGGGGCCGGCAGACGGCAAGAGCCCTGCGGCAGCTCCACCCCAGCCCCGAGCGGGTTGAGGGCCCCGCCCGGGCCCGAGCAGCGCTCACCAGCCTGCCCGCCACCAGGCAGCCGAACATGGCGGCGGCCGGGGAACCCCTCAGATGCCTCCTCGCCGCTCCCGAGTGTCCATGAACGTCGGACCCGGGAAGTCAACACGCCCCCGCTCGCCCGGCCCTGCCGAGTCACTTCCGCGGCGCCGCCGCCATAGACTACAACTCCCATGGGGCAACGCGTGATATCGTACTGGAGGAGCTGGGCGGGGCGGAGCGGGGCGCGACGGGAGCTGTAGTTCGCTTCGCCGCAGTAATGAACGTAATGGGCGGGGAAAGGCGACGTCGCTCCATACAGCCTCGGGTCCCACCAGCCCCTCCGCTGCCTCCGGGTTAAGGGGTGGCAGGGTTTTCTCTAGGAAAGAGGGTGCTAGGTACCCGGCAGTTAAAGTCGGTCTTGCTATCTGGCTGGACCCATAGTGTTTAAATCCAGATAAACCTGGCCAAAGCAATTAGAAACAAGTAAAATCTGCATTCAAAAATAGGAATAAAATGGAAAAGTTAATCAGAAAAGGTACGGGATTAGGCACGGTGACATACACCAGGTACACTGAGAGATGACTGCTGTAACTGTGTATGACTCTGCATTGTCAAGAAGCTCAAATCCTGTCACATACAGTTCACGTTCTGGAGGCTTGCACTGAAGAAATGCACAGTCGTGTGTATTTACTGTGTTATGATCCTCAGAGCCATTTCTGTGCTGAGAGGGCTGGGGTTGTTCAGTCTGGAGAAGAAAAGGCTCTGAGGAGACCTTTTAGCAGCCTTGCAGTACCTAAAGAGGCTATATGAGAGCTGGAGAGAGAGTTTTGACAAAGGCGTGTAGTGACAGGACAAGGGAGAATGGCTTTAAACTGACAGAGAGCAGATTTAGATTAGATATTAGGAAGAAAATCTTTTATGTCCAGAGAGGCTGTGTCTGGCCCATTCTTGGAAGTGCTCAAGGCCAGGTTGGATGGGGCTTTGAGAAATCTGGTTTAATGGAAGGTGGTTCTAGTAGAACCCTTTAATGACAGAGTGGTTGGACTAGATGATGTTTAAAGGTCCTTTCCAACCAAAACGATTCTATGATTCTGTGATTTCAGAGCACCTACTTTCAGACTGCACTTGGTGCTCAGAGCACAACTTTCCTTGACTTCAAACTTAGGTTTGTGAGTACAAGGAGTTTGTGAGTACAATGAGTCTATGTTTCCTCACCCCAGGGGCTTTGGGCAGGTAAAAATAAGAGTGTTCTCAACAAAGGTATCAAAGAGTCTTTCCCTCTTCTATTTTAGCTAGGTTTCATTACGATAGATCCATGTTAATGCAATCTAGATATGGCACGAAATCAAGCAGACAAATACAGATA